CATTCAACGCATGTCAATTGTTTTTAATCTCCTATTACAAAAGGAATACTGCAGGTCACTCCTTACTCCTTATCTAAAACGCATAGTTTTCGACGTCACAGACTAAATTTGCATATTCCCAACTTTGTAAACGTTATAATTTTCCTTTATAATCTCTTCTATTTCCTTTTATTCAAAAAGGTTATCGATTATATGGTTATTTCATACCGAACCCACAATATCCCCTAATTGTTTTGAGCAGTGAATCTGACTGCCTGACATTACTCCGCAGTAGAAAAGAAACGGAACCTAAAACTCCACTACAGATCTATAGAGAAAATGTTTTTCCAAACCGAAGAGTCGCACTTCAAATACTACTATTTCATTATCAAATGCTAACTACGAACATTCGTTCAGCAAATTAAAATAAATTTTCATATATTTACGAGGGGGAGTCAAATGAAAACCATAATTATTTTTTTAAATATTATTTATTGGTCACACAGGGTACAGAAGTAAATCACTTTTCAACATAGTCCCCTCCTCGTTCAATGCAAGTCCGCCAGCGCTTCAGAAGAGCCTGAATACCTGCAGGAAAAAAAGTCTTTTGGGCGTCGGCGCAACCACTCGTGCACCACGTTGCGTACCTCTTTATCGGAGTGGAACTTCCTGCCGCCCATTGCTTCTTTGAGATGACCAAACAGATGGAAATCGCTCGGTGCGAGGTCTGGCGAGTAAGGGGGATGTGGGAGGTATTCAAATTTCAGGTCTGTGATGGTCGCAACCGTTGCACGCGTCTTATGGGGCCGTGTATTGTCGTGTTTCAGTAGCACACCAGCTGACAGCAATCCACGTCGTTTCGTTTTGATGGCAGGCCGGAGCGCCGGTCTTCGTGCTTTGAAGAGAAGGCAATTAAGACGTCATCAAAATAAGGTACACAAAAGTCGAGACTGTTTCATACCTGATTCGTAAAGTGTTTGAACGTTTGAGCAGCATTGCATAAGCCAAAAGTCATGACCGGAAATAGTCCGAAAGGCGTAATAACTGCAGTTTTTGGAATATCAGCTGGGTTAACAGGTACTTAGTGATATGTCCGCTCAAGACGCTGAGCGTCTTGGTTTAGCGGCAATTTAAGGTCCGGCAGTTTCAATATAATGTAGTATATCGCGCTTGGGTTCGGAAATACGCATAAGTGGGCGCATGTTTGTAGGGAATTCTCTGAGATGTTGATGCCATGGGGAGTTACCCGAAATCAGTTTAATGTTCAAATCTTGACTATTGCAAATTAATCCCGGATAAGTTAAGCTGGTTGTGAAATCTAACAAACGGCGATTCTTAAGATCGACAAGCAAAGAAAATTTTTGAAAAAAGTCAGCACCAATAATATGACTTGAAACAGTAGCAATAATGAATGGCCATTGGTAGTTGTGGCACAATCCTAAATGAACAGATATCAGGCGTTCACCAAAAGTTTGAATAGGAGTTCCATTTTGCTACATAAAGTTGTAACTTGGTAAGGCATTTTTGTTCGTGAAAATGTGGTGTAACGACAGAAACATCAGCCCCGGTGTCTACAAGAATCCTGAAGCCCGAATTCTTTTCGATGACGAAAAGGTGTGCAAAATTCCGGCCGCTGCCGTTCACAACTTCGAACAACTGCCCTTCTCATTTCCCTGGTCGTTATAAGGTGAGCGGCATTTGTTTGCCTTGTTTCCAAATTTGTGGTGGTAAAAACAAATACCCAGAGGAGGGCTTTCATAACGTTTCCTCAGTGGGCTACGATGTGTATTTCGACCACGTGATGTGGAGCGGTTGCGCTGAAAAGGTTCAGCTTGGATGGCTACTAACTGAGCAACCTTTTTGGACAAATCACCAATTTGAGCTGTAATGCCACAATACCTGGACCAGGAGCCTGCACTGCGTGTATTTGCGCTGGAATGGCCAGCTCGTGAATTTTATCAGCGATTTCGGGAAGATTTTTAAGTGGCTCGCTACTGGTCGCTAAAATGGTTTGCATGTTAGATGGGAGTCTATTCATCCATAATGTTTTAAGAATGTTATCCGTTAGGTTACCGGTGGCTAAGTCTGACATTTTAGACAGCAATTGAGAAGGCCTCATATCACCCAACCGTAAATCGTGCAACAACTGCTTGATTTTAACTGTGCCGGATTCTTCATAAACAGAAATTAATTTTTTTTAAGATTTGTATTTGTTAAGATTTGGATTCAAAATTATTTCATGAGCTGATTGCAGTACCTATGATTCTAAGAATCCCATTATGTTTCGGCTACGCGGGGCTTGACGTCAAAAGGGACAATTCTCAGAACCCGCACAATTCCAGGAAATACACGTAGCTAGATTACCATTCTCACATACTACAAAGACCTTGAACGCCAAACAATAATCGATTATCGCTCAAATTGGGATCACAAGATCCTTCAGAAGCAGAACTTTCGTATGATTGGTTGTCTGTACCCGGGACCGAGGTCCAGCCGAGACATTTTCGGTGAAGTTTGAAAAAATCCCACGTAGCCGCAATAGGTTTCCGTAGCTAGGTGGGACTTCGCTTCCAACAGGGATCTTTTTTCTAGGAATCCTCCCATTTAAACCAGTGCTACCAGAATCTCGTTTCTCAGAAAAGTCCCATCTAGCAGGGACTGTAGCCATATGTGATAACCTCTTAACGCAGCAATCGCTGTATAAAATTCAGTTTCGTCGGCAGTAATGTGACTCAACGCGCATCCAATTGAATGAACCATAACGATGGGTCTCTGCGACAAAAGGACGGTGGCTTAACTGCCACTCGCGTTGTGAAGCAGCATCGTAGATCAATCAAATATGCACAATAATATGTATAGAATATGCACAATAATAATATGTATAGAAAAATAATCAATATGTAAATAGTGACACAGTTTCTTGGTACTTGAAATCAGAGAAACTGGCGGCTCAAATGCAGCAGACGATACATATATCTGCTGAAATTATGACAGACATATATGTTGACTTACCAGAATGTGGCACAACGCTTGAAATGACAGGTGAAATGGTCCGTCTCACTTGCATCTCATCACACTGGATAACTTACTGCTGCTCAGAATTTTGACATATAAACTTCATATTCGTGCAACATTGAAGGTTGCTATTCGTAATAAATACGGGTCACCAATTATGGAAGTACATTTTTTTTAGACAGATCGTTAAATAATTATAACAATTGAATAGAATAAATATTATTTTGTTTCTGGTTGCTATGGGTTACCAGACTGGTAGAGTTGAGTTGTAATAAGCAAATTGCCACATATCTCTTTATCTATAATGTATATTAAACTTTTAATTGTTTAAAAACTGTACTTTTTAAAAACACTTATATAAATATGTAAAATAAAGAACACCTTTTTAACTAATTTTAGATCATCGTATGTCTAATTTTTTCGTCGACACAGATGCATTTCCAAATCCAAGCCTAGTGTAGTTAGGTAGTGACTATTCTTAATATATTTTTTAGTATTTCATGGCAGATTCCGCATTTTATTATTATTTGCATTATTTTCTTATTACGAATATATTCTATATATTATATTACTGAAAGTTGTTTTAGGGGGGGCACCACAAAGGTATTTTGCCCCGGGCGCCAGTTATGCTCGCTACACCACTGTACAGTTTATTAGTACACATATTTTATTACCGAAAAGAGATATATTCTTAAAATATAAATACAAACACGTATAGAATAATTATATATATTTTTAGCAATTACGCACTTTCATACATGTTCTTTTCTTATTCCAAAGATTCACTGTTTTGTTCAGAATTCTTCTAATTTATCTAAAGTTTATTGAAACGCTACATATATAAATTTTTCATGGAAAAAAATTAATTTCTATGCATATTTATTGACATTTATTCTATTTTAGCAAGAGATTAAATTGCTGTTTCAGCTAATAGGAATTTTAAAACATTTTAGCATATATTTTTCATTTTTATATCAAAAGTAAAGCATTTGTATTGAACTGAAGTAATTAGAAACAAATTGGAAAATTATACTGGAAACATAATTTGGCTGATAATTAAAAGAGGAAGAAAAGCAGTGTTCTCCCATTGGATTATTTGTCCCACTATTTCAGCTAATAGACATTTTGAAATATTTTAGCATATATCTTTTCATCTGTATTTCAAAAATAAAGCATTTTCATTCAGATGAAAGAGTAAAAAAATGAAGTTTAAAAAAAGAGAGGGATTTGATTGTCAAATTTTTACTAAGTTATAAATTGTAGATTCATCATCCCCTGTAATGTAACTCACTTTTTTTAAGATAATAAAAATTAGTTTTAGAACAATTTATTGCTAATTACATTCTTTATTAATTATCACTGCAAACATATTAATGCACTTATTTCATTTCATGTAATGAAATTACAGTATGACTTATACAACATCTTGTATTCATTCATACATTTGTAATTACTAATATTACTGTTTCATTGCTTATAAACAAAACCATGCTTTATTGGCCTTCACAGAAACCAATTTTTTGAGTAAGTTATATATAACAAGAACTAGTATTTGTGCAAATGATTTAATAAAGAATTAATATGTTGTACTAAATTGGCAGCTGTATATTTAGCTCAGTAACAAAATATTATTCCAAGTAGGAAGATAAAATAGTTTTTAAACCAAAATATACACTTATAAAACAATATCACTTTGGAAATAACTTCCAACATCCCAATTATTGTCTACTTAAACTTGAAAACAAAATAATAAAACCAACTCTTCATTCACAGATTGTAATAAACCACAAAATAAAAACTCAAAGAAATATTCTACCAATTAAAATATATTATTAGCACTTCACAATTTTACTGAATTAAAGTTTTACTGAGCAAACATTCAAGTTCAGTCATTTTATGTTGCTTGCATACTTTTATTGAGTCACACTCTAGAAGTGCTATCACAGCTTGATTACTCACTTTAACCAAAGCACTCAGAAAAGCTTGATAGGTAGATTTTATATTACCTTCCAAACCTCTTTCATTAACTCGGGCAAAAGAGGACACAATATGCTGTGGCCAACCACTTTCTACAAGAAAACTAGCAATCCAAGGCATAAGAGGTAACAAAGTAGAAAGTGCCTGCATTCCTAAAAACCACAATTCCATAATGTCTGTCCACACTTCACGATATTCTCTTGTGATGATAAATGAAGGTATTCCATTAATATCTTCAACACTGTGAGCATCCCACAGGAATTTAACGCTTGATGACAAAAATCCATAGAAGCTTGTTTCACACGATTTGACCCTCTTATAAAATTGTCGCATAATCATTAAACCCAAAACAGAAAAATTTGCTTTCAGTGGCAGCATTTCCAATTTTGGAGTTAGTTGAGGTAAGTTATTAAATAAAAATTTTAAGAAGAAAAAGAAGTCATCTGTTTCAGCAACTACTTTAGATTCTAAAACCACAATATTCAAAAATATACCACATAATGTTGTCAGCGAAACTTCTTTATCAGAAGATGGTGTTTTTAAATAAGCATTCCACTGATATTCCATATGATTAAATAACACTGATAACAAATCATTTTCTAACAACACTTGACGAGCTTTGTCATCTGCTGTTAAGTGACATAGAGGAGAAATAAAAAATTGTATTGTCTTGCAATCAGTTAATTCTTTACCATACGAGGTCATAGGGGAGGATTTTTTACATACATCTAAAACAAATGGCAAAATTTCCAGAACATCATCCTGCAAAGCAAATGTTTCCTCAGCAAGCCAACAACACATCACACGAATTGTGGCCACAATAACATCTTGTATATTTGCTGATTTCAAGGAGTCTTCTGAAGTTTTCCAGTTTATGGATATACCTTTTAAGAAATTTATAATTGATTTGAAAGCCATGTTTATTGAATTTAGTAATGGTTCTACATGTGGCCGATTTGGCTGAAACAAATTTTCATCTACCATTATGCCAATAATGCGCTCAAGGATACAATAACAAGAACTCAGCAGAAACAATTCTCGACTAACCTCTTCTGCAGACCTTTCCTCAAGTAGCATATGAACTTCAACACTCGTAATTTGTACTAGTACAGTGAAAAATAACCTCGAGGATTCTGAATCTTCAGTGAACCATTGAGAACCAAATTTGTGAACAATTAAACCGGCTAGTTTTAATGCAGGATCTCGTTGAGCTTTTCCTACTTTACTCTGGAGTATATCAATCAATCCTTTCTGCATTATGTTGCTGGTTTCCAAGTCCAAGCTGTTATTATATTTTAATACAATAGTAATAATATAATTGCAGACTTCAAACTTTTTCATAGAATTATCCATACAAAATTGCATTGCTAATATTTTTAATAAATCATTTACTAGTACTTCATAAGGTTCACTATAGTCTGTCTGAAGCAAAAACATAATTAATGCACTTAAAGTTTTATCATTATTCGACAGTTTGTATTCGTTATATAATGCATTTATAATGCCACATTCTAAAAGCTCTTTTTTACAAGTTTCATTACTGTTCATAGCTATTACAATATCTAAAGCATCATTAATGGTGTCACTAATTTCATCGTGATCAGGAGACTCAAAAACATCAACCAAATAAGGTATGAAAGAAAGAATTTGAGGATCATTTAATAAATCTGAATCTAAGCAGAAGCAAGAAAGGATAGCAAACCCTAAAGTTTTATACGCGTTTATATTTGAATCTGATTCATCATCAATCGTCAATAATCTTTTCAGAAACTTAAATCCTATTGCCTCAAACACTTCTCTCTTTTCATTTGCAGATAAATTCTCGGTCCGGATAAGTTTAGCAATGACCATCAATGCTGCAAATCGTTCAGTATCTGATTTAGCAGCTTTCCAGGCTGCTGTACATTTTCGAACAGTTTCCATCTTTTAGTAAAACGTATGAGAAAAACAGCTACGTCATGCTTTTAAACAAGAAGTCCGTTTTTACCAAAACGAAACGTCACGCTGAAGAAATGTTTCCCGTTTTTTGCAGATACAGATAAACGCATTGCTGTAATACTGCATTTGCAATAGCAAATTTTTTTCTACATATATAATTAACTGAGTGTCATATTATTAGAAAAAGACTTTCGGCGAAATACTGTTGTTGCCTACTTACTATACATGCGACTGTAAGGTCAACTTTTTCTTCAGTTCACTTCACACACGATAACGTCTATTCTGTTGCTTGTTGAATTTTAATATGATTTCCCATAAATAAATAGTTAACAAATTATAAACAATTCAAATAGTTTTATTTATTTTTTAAATTTTAATAGATATATATTTTCAATTAAAATGTTCATTTCATTACAAATATTAATTGACAATCAATTTAAAACAAAAAGCTGGCAAACAATTTGATGTTTACTGTCAACATATCAACACCATGCGGTAAGGTCGGCTTCCTATTTGTAAGTAAAATATCCATATTGTGTTTGTCGCCTAACGTATATTTGTGATTTAATTTTTGAACAGTTCTGTCCAAGCGATTTGCCGTACATTCTTATTTAATGAATAATAAGTTACTTAATGGATTACGAATAGTTTGTTAAAACATAAACCTTCTTTCACGAATTGTATGCAGCTTCATCTCAGTTAATAATTTACATTCTTGTTCCGTGTGGTCAGTTCATATTCACGTTTATTATGATCGGTATGCTTATATTATGAGCATATGTATGAATATTTATAATAATATATTTGCAGTAACTACTGAAGTATAGATAAACTTCAAAAATGGCCCAAGTGTGTTTTAACACAGATTAGTTTTCTAAGGGATAATATTCGGAATGGCATAAATACAGTAAAAATAATCAAGTTTTTTTTTTTTTTTTTTTTTTCCAATGCATTATACGGTACTGAAGTTTGGGGGTTTTCCCTTTCTCAAATCTCGAATATTGAAACCGTTACAGTTTGCAGCAAAGCAAGCAATTGACTTTTTTTTTTTGGCAGCTGTCGATTCCGATTGCGTAATATCATGTGCTGCGGAAGAATTAAGGCGCATGTATTGAGCAATAACTTTTGCAATATTTCATAGAGATAAAAGAGTTTTACTGTACTTGCTAAGCAGATTATTTTTGAGTTTTTTGGGGCTATTTTTTATATGATGCACATATCGAAATGTCTAAAGCATTAGTTAGCCACAAAATCTAAAGAACGGCTACAATCTAACCCCCTCCTTCCTATTTTACCAGTTATGCTCGACTATCCGGAATTTTCAGATATTCGGCAATTTCCGAGTATCCCGGTAAGTTAAGCTTTTACTGTTAAAGGATGACTGCATGAAACAACTTCCCGTCTTCTGATTTCAGAAAAGTTCCTTTTTTTTTTTACTTATTTTTACTTAAATTACTTTGCTTGCAATATCTGTTAAGGAAAAACTGTTATACAATGAAAATTTAGAAAATGTTCAGAATTTTGATTTAAGTTAAATTATTTAAATATTAATATAAGTGGAAAAATAAATTACATTTATTTTTAGGTACCAAGCGAATATAATAAATATGGCTTATTATTTATTTTCTCTATTTTGAACTGAAATTTCATCATTAAAATCTTGTAATATAATTTAGTTCTACATAGTTTTTCTTTTCTCTCATTGTAAACTAGTTCTGTAAATTGAACTGTTATTTAAAATATATATATATATGTATAAAAAAAAAGAATGTAATTTTTTTTTCCATGGTTGAGTATTGCTCATTCTCTCTTAATAAATACTGAATTTCTCATAATTTAAATTGCAAATCTAATTTTTCTTTTAAGGTTATGCAGTTGTGTATAATGTAATTAGACAGGTGCTTATTTTTTTTTTCTTAAAATGTGCTTGAAAAGTGCTTATAGATACTTATTGTTTTAACTAAAATGTGGCTATGAACCCTGGCTCCTAATTTTTCTTTCTTTCTTTTTTTTTTTTTTTTTTTTTTTTTTTTTGGTCAAGCCAAAAGTTAACAAGTGTGTTATTTTTGAAATCTTCAGTTAGAGGTCGATCACAGGAAATTTCTATCAATTTTCTTCTTCTTCACGAGATAAAATTTCAGGTATATTTGAACAAAATGAATTTGTAATCCAATTTTCATTTTCATAATCCTTGGAAATATACTTGTTGAAATTTATCAATGAAAACCAATGATTTTTAATGTTGGATGCTAATTCTTTTTTTTATTTTCAAATTATTTTTGGTTAGAAAACTTTCTAAAAGTGGCAAAAAACTTAAAATATTATTATCCAATTCTTTGATTATTAGCTCGAGTTTTTTTATCGTTGCCTTTATTTTATCTCTAATGGTAAACAAATTAACACTTTGTCCTTCTAATCCAAAATTTAATGCATTTAACTTTCAAATATCAGCTAAATATACTAAATGCGCTAACCATAATTCCCTAAATAAACATTTTTGCAATTCAAATTTTGAATCATAGAGGAAAATTTTAATTTCTGATCAAAGTTCAAAAAGATAATTTAAAACTTTGCCTCTGGATAACCAGCTTACTTCGGAATGTAACAAAAGTGTTTCATGTTCACTGCCCATCTCTCGGCATAAAATCGTAAATGTTTTTGAATTTAGAGCTTGGCTTTTTATAAAATTAACAATTTTCACAGCTTGATTTAAAACAATTTTCAGGCTTTCAGAGATTGTTTGGGCTACTAAAGCTTCACGATGTATGGAGCAGTGAGTAAATATAGTTTCAGGTGCGGCTTTGAGAAATAATCCCGGAGTGTTTTTCTGTTAAAGCCTGAGCTCCGCCATTGCATATGGCAATGCACTTACTCCAAGAAATACTATTCTCAGACATAAAATTGTCAATTATTTTGAAAATTTCACTTGCAATTGCTCTATCATTAAAAGATTCACAAAATAAATACTCTTCAGCAATTCATTTATCTTCATCAAAACGTATGTAAACTATTAATTGAACAAAGTTCGTTATATCAGTACTTTCATCCAATTGCAATGTGAAATGTTCACTGTATTTTATTTTTTTGAATAAGTGTCTCTTTTATGGAATCTGCCATTTCATGAATTCGTTGATTTACTGTATCATTTGATAACGGAATATTATTAAGTTCATTAGCCGCCTTTTTCATTGAATACTGTTAAAACAATATCTTTAGCAGCTGGTGTTGGATTTCAAAAGAATGTAGTTTGTATTTTGTACTTACTTTCCTTTAATTTTTTTACTTAATGTCATCTGGCCACTAATTATTATTGTTAGTTTAGTTTCTGGGAAGTGGCAACAAAACAATTTATAGAATTAGCAAAATATATGTTTATGTAGTTAGGTTAGGCTTATCAAAGAAGAATGACATGTTATTTACATGAGTGATGTTTTACTTGAGTTAATAAATGAATACTTTAGAATATTTTTAGTAGTCTCTGAGAGTCCATGATATGCTGGTAGCGTAATAGTTTATTTTGACACGTAAGCGAACATTTTTTGGTACCCCCCTCGGGACACAAGAGACATTAGTTTGGAACTCTAAAGTATAAAAGTAAAGAAGCTATTAAACTTGAAAAGAAGATTCACAGAGCTGCTTTTACAAAATCCTTCAATGTTTTAGAAGAAATTTTAAAGAAAAATTAGATAGATTCTTCTGAATTACAGTCGGAGCTTAATGCTTTTGTTTCGAAAGCTCAATGTTTGGAAGATATGCACACACGTTTTCTTAGCACACTGTTCAAAAATGAAATTGAAGCAGAATTGAAGATTATTGGGACAATGCCATCAAAGTCGAAACTAAAATGAAAGGTATTCTTCAGAGTTTACAAAACGTAAGTACTTCAAGTTTAATTTTGAATGAATCTGTTAATGAGGATGCATGCAAACATACATTTAAGCTTCCAAAGCTTGAATTACAAAAATTTGAAGGTGAAATTAAGGAATGGTTATGCGGGCTGTGGAAACCCTTGGTGTCACTACAGATAAATGTGCTGCACTTCTTCATCCTTTAGTTGAATCCTGCTTGCCTGAGAATTTTTTAACCTGGCAGCACACGCATCCTAATAGTAACGCGAGAACGCGCGTTGGGTCGAGTAGGCCCGTGCGCAGCTTCCTTTAATTCATGCGACTTATTATTGAACCAGTAATATATATTTTATACCACGATTCATAAAAATCAAGAGAAATTATATAATTGAAAACTATGAATTAATATCTAGAAAAATCTTGTTAAATATTTACATCACATATAGTGTTGAATAAGATAACAGAATAAGGTACAACAGATAATTGAATAGTTGAAGAAGGTAACTAAATTAATGAATTAATGCATTTAAACTTTTAATACTGAAACAATACTTACATATGAAGCTACAAACTTGACGCTGGTATATATTTATTTGCACATATTAAACACTATGGAGCTATGCTCACCGCAAACATTTTTTTCACATTTTGTGAATGATGTTTTAGATTTTCTGTCCTTTACAATGGAACATAAATGGCATTTTTTCATTGCAGCAGCTTTTAATTTTTTACAAGGAGGATCCTCAACTTGTTCAGGCTGTGTTCTGTTTAATTCTATTCACAAACTCCTGGAAATATTAGATTGGATTCTTCTGTTTTATTTGTGCTCCTTTAGAAGTTCTAATGCAAGATCCTTCAAAAAGAGCCTCCTTTTACGGTACTTTTCTTCAGGTTTATCGGTTGACAATAACAGGACGTGAACGTTGACAGCAGCTGTATTTAACATACTAAAAAATACGACCATCGGCCATCTGTTGCTAATTCTAGCTGTAGAATATAATGCCAACATTTCGTCTACTACATCCACTGCACCTTTCGTCAGGTTATAAAAAGTAATAATTTCAGGTTTTTTGGCATCAGCAGATGAAGGATTTATAGCATCATCATTATGCATAGTTGATAATAAAAGCACACATTTATTCTTTTTTGGGAATACAGTCAAAAGTCGTTAATCCGGACTTGTCGGGACTTCGGCGATTCCGGATTATCGATTTTTTCGGATTATAGATCATCAGTTTAAATCTCGTAAGATGGCATGCAGAAATTCTAAAATTAAAAATATGAAACCATAATTTATGAAATAAAGAACAATTATGATCTAAAGGGTATCAAAATTTACAAAAAAAAAAAAAGCTCAATATTTATTTGTTTACTTTATTAAACATTTTCTTTCCAATGTAAGTTGTGTTTAAGTTGCTTCATTTTTATGTGATAATACTTTCTCTTTAATTTCTATAAAACAGACATAATTTCTTGTTCAGTTACAAAGTTCCGCTGTTCAAGTTCCGTTAATTTGCTTGTGTCGAGAATACCGACTAACTTGTCAAACGAAATTTTTTCGTTTTCACTAACCTCTCTGTCACATTCTTCATGTCTTTATCCATTTTTTGCAGCAATTCCACTTTTTGTTTGATGGACATCGAAACATACTTTCGTTTTGTACGATCCTTTGGGAGCTCCAGAATCGGAAATTCTATTTGACATAATCGAAAGTTCAAGTTTACTTTTATAATATTGCTCTTATAGTCTGCAAAAAATAATAAGCCGGATCCAATTAGAAGATTAAGGAACAACGCAATCATCAACATTAACTCAGATAGATAATTTTAACTTATATTGTCTGTTATACATAAAACGTGCACGCGAAAACGTATTCTGCGCTTGCGCACACACATATGCGCATGTGTCAACGCGGCACATGCGTAGAAAGTTTTTAGCTTTGAGGTCCGAATTAACGACTTTTGACTGTATATGACACTAAAGTCATATATTTTTTTAATCTGAAGAGCACTGAATGCAATTCTTGTTTTCTGGAGCAAGTGCATTCCTTCAGTATTTCTCTTTTATTTTTTCTTATTGTTCCAACAATTAGAAATTTATTTTTTCTTATTGTTCCAACAATTTTTTTTTTTTTTTTTTTACCTAGAAGGTCTTTAGCTAGACCAACACTCGTATACCAGTTATCAACTGGTAAGGTTGATAACTGGTATATGAGGTTTCTTCCTGAGGTTTTCAACACAGGTTTCTTCCTGTGTTGAAAATAGGTGCAACAAGTCTCATAACAAATTTGTCCGTCCTGTTTTCCAGTTTGTAGGGACCTTCAGGTTGCATCCCTGCATATATTTGTAAATTCCAGATATAAAAGGTCCATGAATCAACTATAACAAGCATTTTAGTACCGTACTTTTCAGGCTTACTGGGAATATATTGCCTGAAAGGACATCTGCCTCTAAAAGGTTCTAATTTTTCATCGATGGTGACGTACTCACCAAGCCTGTGACTT